GGATGGCACCACCCACAGTGGGCTGGGCTCTCCCACATCACTCATCAAGAAGATGCCCCTCAGACATGGCCACAGGCCAGTCCAGTAGAGGCAATTCCCCAATTGAGGCTCCCTCAACCCAGGTGTGTCAAGTTGACACTAAAGCTATCCAGCACAGTGAGTTAATAAGAAAATTATAGGAAAGTATTAAATATGCCAGTTTATATTACCTCTAGAAAACCACTTTTTAGCCTCCGAAAATTTCCTTTTAAAGAGTGATAGATTCTGAGCACTTCTGACACTCTTTGCTTAGGATTTTATCATTCTTTACACTTTAAATAGCTGATTTTTTAAAAGTAGTTCTTTTGGCAGTTGTTACTCTTTCTTTTAATCTGAGAGGGTAGGGAATAGGGAGAGCAGAAGTTTTTCATTGGAAGTGTTTTCTTTCTGTTGTGATAAAACTCTGACCAAAACTGATGTGGGGAGGGAAGGGTTTCTTTCGTTTTACAAGTTACAGTCTATGATTGAGGGGAGTCTGGGCAGGAACCAGGAGGTAGAAATTGACAGAGACCCTGGAGGAGTGTTGCTGCTCACTGACTTGCTTCTCTGGCTTGCTCAGCTACTTTTCTTTTACAACCCAGACCCACCTGCTCAGGGATGGTACTGCCCACAATGGCCTGTGCCTGTGTCTTCCTACATTAATTAGCAATCCCCAAAAAATATCCCAAGATATTGCCTACAGGCCAGTCTGATGTAGGAAATTCTTTAGTTGAGGCTCCCTCTTTACAGGTATCTCCAGTGTGTGTCAAGTTGACAAAAATTAACCAGCACAAAAAGTATTTCAATTTATCTTTCAGATGCCTTTACTTTTACATTTAGTAAAGATAATACTTATCATACTACTGTGGTGATCCTTATTAAACATTATCCTATGGGCTGAAAGTATGCGTTCATTTACAAGTCCTTAATTGCCTTTGAAATAAGAAAATCAAAATAGAAATTCCCATTTCTGACTTTGAAGAGCAACTGCTAATTTTAAAGTTACAATGACTATAGATTTTTTTTTTAAAGTAAATTTCCTTGTATATTGAGGCCTACCCATATATGCAGTTGTCTGTAGAATAGCTAAAGAACATGGACTTTGCCTCTGCTCTGTTGTTGACTTAATCCATCAGACATTTGTAAATCATTGCCTCCATCAATATTTTATTTCTATTTTTTATGTGTATGAGTGTAATGCCTGAATGTATGTAAGTGCACCTGTGTCATGCAGTGCCTGCAGAGGTCAGAAGAGGGCCTCAGTTCCCCTGGAATCGGAGTTACAGACAGTCGTTACCTGTCATGTGGGTGCTGGGAATCAAACTGGGGTCCTCTGCAAGAGCAGGCAGTGCTCTTAACTGCTGAGCCATCTCTCCAGCCCCTTATTTTCATTGTTCTTATGAAAGAAAGATTGTCAAAACTTCTTTACTGAAGTGTTTGCTATGTCCACATTAGTAGTTGACTCCAAAATTCTGCTAAATATTAGTTTAATCATTCATATTTAATATATTGATATTTAGCTCTCAAAACCTAAAGCAAATTTGATGTTTCTCTTTTTAAAAATATATTTATTATATTTATTTTGCCTTGCTGTGTGTAAGCATACCCATGTCTTGCAATCCCTGCGTAGGTCAGAAGAGAGTGTCGGATTCTCTGGAACTGGAGTTACACATGGTTGTTAGCCACTATGTGGGTGCTAAGAGCCGAACCCAGGTTCTCTGCAAGAGCAGTCAGTGCTCTTGTTCAGCCATCTCTCCAGCCCCCACATTTCTTTTTTTTAAAGACAGGGTTTCACTGTGTAGCACTGGCTTGCCTGAAATTCACTATGTAGACCAGGTTGTCCTTGAACTCAGATCCACCTTCCTCTGTCTCTTGAAAACCAGGATTAAAGGTGTTGCACCACCACACCTGACAAATTTGGCCTTGCTAATGTACAAGAGAATTCTTTGAAAAGCAGTAATAAACTGAAGTAATGAGAAGGAAGCATTAATTTGGGTTTGTGTTTTATTTGGTGACTATAATTACATCATTTGCACTGAGATTTTAAGGGTACATAGTGTTTTCATTTTTGATGTTAGTAAACTGTTTTGTGAGAATTCTTTTTAAAAAGGTATAGAGTGTAAACATTTCATGCAGGATAGTCTGATTTGTTAAGAATTTGATGTTAATCTCTTGGAGTTCTTTGAAGGAAGCTACATTGAAATCATATGACTGCTGCTATTTTATGAGTTTAACAGAGTTTTTAGCACAGTTTGAAAAGTCCTTTGAATCAGGATAAGCAAACTGCTGCCAGTGGGTCAATCTAGCCTACTACTTTTTCTTGTAAGTAAAATTGTGTTGAGATATAGACTGTTCAGTTGGTTATGTATTGTCTGGCTGTTGTTAAACTACAATGGCAGAATTGAGTAGTTTATCACAGAGATTGTATTGTGTACAAAGTTTAAAGTATTACCTGACCTTACACAGAAAAATTTGTGTTCCTTTACATCTCAGGGCACTTAATTTGGGGGGCAAGCATATGTGAAGAAGTAACTACTTCTTGATTGTTTGCTTTAGTTGAAGGCACAAAAATTAGGTGAAGAAAAGTAACATTGTAGTGTTTATAAGGTCTTACCAAGACTCTAAAAGATACTTGTAAGAATGTGATATAATTTGCTTGAGCTGGAGAGATGGCTCAGCAGAAGACCCCTTCTTCTTGCAGAAGACCCCGGTTCGAATCCCAACATCCACATGGCAGCTAACAACTATCCATAACTCCAGTCCCAGGGAATCCGACAGCCTCTTCTGACCTCCGCAGGCATTGCATGACTTGGGTGCACTTACCTACATGCAGGCAATATGCGTATACATATAAAATAAAAATAATAAAATTAAAAACAAAAGAATGTGATATAATTTGCTGTGTGAAACTCATTCTCATTTGTAATTTTCTACTGACAATTTGCACTTACATACTCTAAATGTTACTGCACAGTAGGAAATGCAAGGAGAGACCCGCTTTCAATTTTAATTTATTTTTTAAAGGTTTAGTTTTTTAATTTATGTGGATGTGTGTATATGCCTGAGGGACTTAAGTGAGCACAGCGTGCAGGTACCTCTGGAGGCCAGACCATGTCAGATTCTGAAAATTGAATTACAGGTGCTTTTGAACTGCCTGATGTAGTGCTTATATCCAAACCATAGTCCTCCAAGAATAGAATGAGTTCTTAACTGTTGAGCCATCTCTTCAGCCCTGAACCATTTTTTAAATTTTACTTGTTTTTGTGATTATCACTTCATATGGTGGTAGGGTACATTTATACCTTCTGACTAATTATAAGGTGGAGTTGATGATGGTGTTTTCTCATTCAACTAGAAACAGCAGATACTGACTAGTGCTTCAAAAACAGTCTTGAAAATTGAAGGGGTGTGTGTAAAGCTTTGTGGTAGTAGATCGTGACTAACCTTCAAAAGATTTATGTGAAAGAACACATTGTCATTATTTATTGGAATAACAATTTGGTAAAGGATCAATCAGTACCTCCCTTTTCCTCTATTTAGTATTTTATCATATTTATTTCTAAGATGCCGGTATAGATATATTGGAAAGCTTTTCCAAGGGGCTAATTTTCTTTTCTCTTTTAATTTTGAGGCAGAGTTTCACTTAGCCCCAGATGGCTTGGAGCTCACTGTGTAGACAAGGCTGATCTTGATCTCAGAGAGGTCTGCCTGCCTCTGCATCCTGAGTGCTGGGATTAAAAGTGTGTACCACTATGCCTGGCTGGGGCTAATTTTCTTGAGTCTAACATATAGGCCAAGCTAGAGGCAGTTATAATGCTATGGTTAAGACCATCAGCTTTGGCAAAGACCATCAGCTTTGGCATAAGAGGCCTCTTAGTCACAGCCACACTTCTTAAAACAAGAGAAAGAGAATCGATGATAATAGTACCAGTGTAATGGAATGAGTATATGAAATAGTGCATTAAAAAAGACATTTGGTGCATTTAAAAAAAAAACAAAAACCTACTACTGTTGTTACTTTTTAGCCAGGCTTAAACCACTGTTAACTACTTTTTACCTAAATAAGTTCTTTTATGTGATGGTGGAGCTTAAACCCAGGGCCTCTGTACGTGATAGGCAAGCATTGTACCAGTGAGCCCCCAACTAAACTCTTAATTATGAATGCTATGTGAGGTTTAAAAGGAAATTATAACAGGTAAGTGAAATTCTGTGTTAGGAAAATATCATTGTTTTGTGCTAATGTATTTTAACAGTGAATATTTTCCCAATCGAATATTTGGGGCGGGGGGTGGAACATAATTAACAAGTCATTTTCCTTCCTCGTTCTTTAATTTTT